TCCCTCTCCTCCTTGCCCACTTCCCTCTGAGTCGGTGGTGAACGTGGAGGCTGCCATCCACTTGCCTTCCTCCCTTACGTAGGTAAGTTCTTTCTGGGCAGGTGACTGAACCTCAGCTGCATGTCTTACTGTCTGCCGAAACCACACAGCTGCCCTCAGAGCCTGCTCACTCACCACCCTGCCCCATAATGCCGCTCTCAGATCTTGCAGTGCGTTTTCTTGTCAGTTGGGCGTTTAAGGAGCATTCCCACACTCACATGGCCATATGCCACTCTGGGACACACAGAAAATGGCCACCCCAGAGTTTCTCTTTCTAGACATTCTACCTGCAGTCGTTCCATGTCACATAGAGAAGGATGATGGAGTCCATTCCCAAGGATGATTAACCCTTCAGGTGCATGTCTTATCACTCACATCAGGGTCGTGTGACTGCTCCTTCCAAATCCGCATTTGGTTCTGTCAGTCCCTATTGGATGCCAAGTGTTTTGTGACCTTTTCTGGGGAGTCTATTTCTACTTATGCCAGAGGGCAGCAGACCAAAGAAATGGTCTGCCCAAGTCTAGCTTGATGAAGCAGTGGTTGACATCAGGTCCAGTAATTGGGGTTACTTTGAGGAAGCACCTCCCTCCCCAGCAACTGTTAATCACTTCCCTGTCCTGGGGGAGAGTAGAGAACTTGGAGCCTCCACTTTCCATGAGAGGTGTTAGCAGAGTTGGTCCTGGAGGAGTCATGCACTCACGACTGGTCTAACCACAACGGCCCTGAGAGGACAGAGTCCCCAAAAGCCTCTCAGTGGTTGAATTTACCAGTTTGGAGCCAAGCCTTCAATAGAGGAGCCTTTTGGGTATGCTTCATGTTCAAACTGTAGGGGGCTGTGTAGATGTGACTGAGGTAAGAGTGCTGAAGGGTGGGGTACAGTAGGGAAACCTCGCCTCCTGCTGGACTTGATGTCAATAAGGCCACCTTCTCACCTGCAGAGGACCACTGAGGTGGAGGAGCCTCAGAGGGACCTGAGCAGGCATGACTGGCTTTGAAGATGGAACTAGAGGATCAGGAACGAAGAACCGAGAAATTGGAAAGGTGAGGAAAATCCTCTCCTAAAATGCCAGAAGGAAGCCAAGTTTCGATCCTGTTCCTCCAGCTTATCAGGGAACACTTGGGTCCATGTTGTCCAAGATACTCAGTGTGGAGTAATCTGTCGTGGCAACAAGAGAAAATGCATGTTACTATCTCTGAGGAGCTTGGGAAACAGCATCTACCCTACAGGAGGTGGAAATGTCAGAATGGCTCAGGCAGACTGGGAAGGAGGGGCCAAGGGCTCAGACATGGGATGTGCAATGGTTTTTGGAACATCCAGATGAGGCCTGTGTCTCAAGAGGGTGGATGGAGAACTCTGCTTGCCAGAGCTGTGTGGCTGCACCAGGGAAGACACCTGCACCAATGGCGCCCCTTGTAGGTACATGGAAGGAACACTCAATTCTCAGGTACCCCAAGGAGGTGAATCAGAATGAGATCATTCAGGGAGCAATGGAGATGGGTAGCCCAGCAGTATCTCTAACGTGGGTACTGTCCCTCCATATTTCTTATATAGGAGGAACAGGATGGTTCTGAGCACAGAGATTGGACTTCTCATTTCTGGACCTGAGCTAGTTTCAACCCAGAGCCACTGGCTGAAGACAGGGGAGGGCTGAAGAGAAAGGACTGTGCCTGTCACAGCTAGCTCATAAAGGATCCCTCCAGCCAGGTCTGTACCATGCAGCACCGTTATGTTGCTGCTTGTGAACCCTTGGTCTGTTTCCCAGGAAACCTGACTCACTCACTCATTTAGAGTAAGGCTATTGAATTTTGTATGTTTGTCTTGTATCCAAGCATCTTACAAAGTCTTCGTGGAAATTCTAATTATTGTAGGAGAGTCATTGGAGAGTTCTTGGTGCAAAGTCACATTATCTTGCAGCAAAGATAATTTCACTTGTTTCCTTGGAAACACTATGAATCTTACTTTCTTGTCTCTGTTCACTAAATAGACCTGTCAAATAAACGGTCAACAATAGCAGTGACAATGAACATTCCTGTCTTGTTTTTTATCTGAACAGGTACACACTTGATGTCTTAAAGATAAACTATCATATTCTGGTAGTTTCCTTCTATTTTTCACCCAGAATTGGAGGATTTGAAAGGGAGACTCAGTGATACACAGTGGTTTTCAGATGTGCTTTGAGCAGAATGTAGGTCTTTCCCTGTACTCGTTGGCAAGTCTCCTACAGCTTAGCTCTTCTTGCACTTGTAGGATAAATTTTACTTATCCATATTTCCTTATTAATACATTGAGTTGAATTCAACTTAATGTTTTTTCAAAATGGCATCAATATTTATAAATGCAATTTACTGTTACTCTGTTTCCCTCAGCATTCTGAGGTTTTCCAGATAGTGTAATATTATTGACTTTTAAAAATGAATCGCAAGGGGTGGGTGTGGTGGTGCCACATCTTTAATAACAGCAGAGGCAGGTGGAGTGCTAAGTTCAAGACCAGCCTTGTCTACATAGTGAGTTCCAGGCCATATAGGGAAACATAAAGAGGCCACATCTCAAAAACTAATTGTGAAGTTTGCCACAGTTTCTGTAGATTGAAACTATGTTTGTGGTAGGATGGTTAATTTTATGGATTAACTTAGTTGGACAAGATACCCAGATATGCGGAAGCTTTCATGGGAATAGTTTTGGATAAAATTAGCTTTTGAGTCAGTTGGCTTGAGTTGTTTTCCCTCCATGCTGTGAGTGGTCCTCATTACCAGTTAAAGCCTGTATAGAACAAACCTGGCTACTTGGGACAAGCGGGAAGTCTGGATCAGAAATACCTTGAACCTGAACCAAAGCATCAGCTCTTAACTTGGTCCTCAGTTTGACAACCCTGCAAACTGTGAGCTTGTCAGTTTTCACAGTCATGTGAAATAATCCCCAAGATAGCTCCTGGGATCCGTCTTTGTCTCTGTCAAACATATATTGACATTATATTGCACACATTTGTGCGTATGCATCCTGTTGATCCCGTTGCCTCTGTTTCTCTGGAGAATCTGGACTGATATAAATACTAAGAGAATCTCTGACTTTTTAAATTAAAATTTTAGTATTTTATTATGTGCATGAGCATTTTGCTCGCACCTATGTGCAATGCTTGCATGTCTGCCTGGAGCTTGCAGAGGCTAGAAGAGGACACCTGCTCTACCTGATCTTCTGGAGCTGGAGCTACAGACGACTGTGCTCCACCAATTTTCAATGCTGGGAATTGAACCTGGGTCCTCTGGAAGAGCAGCCAATGTTCTTGACCATTGGATGTCTCTCCAGTCCATGATTTTTTTTTAAAGTTTAAATGGAACTCATACATGAGTATATGTCCTTTTCTTTTTTTTTATTTTATTTGTCCAAACCTTCAAGTACTTACGAATGGATAGAATTTCCACATGTGTTCAGGTTGGGGCAGGCTGAACTTCCCAAATGTTCCCTCTGGTTTGAACTGGGGGATGTGGCAGTGGAAGAAACCCTGGATGAATTCTCTGAGGAAAGGGTAGCTTCTTCAGACCTTGTGCTTGGTCTCCTATGTATGTACTCAAAAGCTTGCAAAATGAATTTGTTACATGTAGAGGTGTATATCAAATGGTAATGAGTGTAAGAAGACATTTGGCTTTCTAGTGATAAGCAGAAGACAAGTTACAAATTGACGAGCCATCTTCCCCAGGCAACACCAATCAAGTGGAAAGCCCTGCTGGGGAGAAGGGTCTGCAGCGGGGGTGTGTGGGGTACAATATTGTCAGAGATGAATATGGAGATTCCCACCAACACCACTTCAAATGTTCATACCACACAACCCAGGTATTCTTCTTCTAAGAGTGTGCTGTCTGTGTGACCACACAAACATAGGCACCAGGATATCACACAGCAGGGCTGGAAACAGTCAACACTGGAGACATCCAGTGCCCCCCGAAGAGAGGGATCGTCTCATACACCATGGAACAGTTTTGATCATGGAACATCACAGATCTGCTTGTGCTGACAGGGGATAATGTCGCTGCACATGGCTGAATGAAGCATCCATGGACACGGCTATAGTGTGAAGCTTTTTTTTTTGTGAGTGTGCTTATGAGCAAAATGTCTGGATAAGTAGACATCAGATTGTCACAAGTGGTGATGCTGTTACAGGGTGGAGGAAAGAGGAGGGAACTTGGTATCTTTATATACACACATTTTTTATTGAAATGAAAAACAAGTGCATATTACTTGAGCAATAAAACAAAAAGAGTTTTTAGTGCCTGCAGCAGAGAAGAAAAAAATGCTGATGTAATCTCTATCCAGAAGGAGGACTCTGGGGCTCGTTCATTCTGGGAATTGGACTAATGGTTACTTGGTCTTAAGGGAAACTAGAAAAGTCATTAATTCTATTAATTAATGCACCCGTAGTTCCATCTCAGCAAAGAGGTCTTAATGAGGTGCCCAGGGCAACCATTATTTATCTTACACACATAGAACGAGGGTCCCCCTGTATGGGGGTTGAGTGCATGGCTATCAAAGCGCAAACAGCTCACAGGCCCACTCCAGTCCAAGAATACCTGGACCATCCCTGCTTTCTCTCTTCATTCTTATTGACCTGACTCTTTTGCTTTTTGCCTCCCTCCTTCATTCATTTCACAAAGGCCTTGAAAGGAGTGACCACAGTCTGGACTGCAAATTTGTCATCATCCTTCTCCTCATTAGCTACTAACTGTTGGTCCCCTCACTGACAGCTTGCGTCTCTCTCCCAAGCTGACTGAGAGATGCTTCTGCTCCAGCCAGGTTCCCAAGGCACATCCCCATTAAGAAACTCCTGCCTTGCCCAGCGTCTCCTGACCCACAGCCCATCTAACAGCGCCACAATGGGAGCTGTCCGCGGTTCTGACCGCCGGCGCGCCCCACGCTCGGCCGGTGCGCACGCGTCTGCGTGCAACGCTAGAGACCCGCAAGCGCCGTCACTGCGCATCCTCCCACGCGGTTCGGGCCAGGCCTGTGCAGTGCCGGTGACTCGCAGCCCCCGGCTCCCGGCGCGGTCGCCTTCCCGGCTCGCGGCCTCTCCGGCCGTGGCACCACCATGGCGCTCAACAATTTTCTCTTCGCGCAGTGCGTCTGCTACTTTTTGGCCTTCCTGTTCAGCTTCGTGGTGGTGGTGCCGCTGTCGGAGAATGGCCATGACTTTCGGGGCCGTTGCCTGCTTTTTACCGAGGGTATGTGGCTGAGCGCCAACCTGACGATGCAGGGGCGGGAGCGCTTCACCGTGCAGGAGTGGGGCCCGCCAGCCGCCTGCCGCTTCAGCCTGCTTGCCAGCCTCCTGTCGCTGCTGCTGGCCGCCGCGCACGCATGGCGCACGCTCTTCTTCCTCTGCAAGGGACATGAGGGGTAAGTGGAGGCCTCTCAGCAGCCCAGAACAGACAGATACAGCACTCACGAATCTTCTGGCTCCCTACCAGGCCCTCCTATCCCGGGGGGGATGGGGGGGGGAGCATGAGTTCCTCCACCTCTCCTGCTGCAGTGGCCTGCAAGTATTAACACTCAGCTTCACGACTTTTAAGCAGACTGCCCTTTGTCTACACACAGGCCCAGGGGCCATGAGGCCTCTGTCCAACCCACATGATCTCCTTCTGTTCCTGGAGCGAGCATGACTCCAGCTTCCTGGCCCCGATTCCTTGGGGGTACAGATGTTGCACTGTCATGGCCACAGGCCTGGGCTCTCTGACTCAGCTAGGCCACACTCTCTGGGAACCTGGGACCACCTGCAACGGTCTTGGGCCTACACTTTTCTCCTGTGGATGGGGGAAGGGACCACACTTTGGAAAGATAGGGTAGTCTTCTATTCCCTGCACCTTATCTTGGGAAAATGTAACGGAGGGTGTCTGGGGAGGTCCTTAACTCTGGCACTCTGGCCTTGGCTGAAGGCATGCTCAGTGTGTGTGTGTGTGTGTGTGTTTAGGGGATATGGGTGAGTAGGGTCCTGCATTGTGGTCCCAGTACCTCCAGGTTTTCTTCACCCTTTCGTGCTTTGTCCCTTTGCTGGAGCCAGTGGAACATATTTCACCCGGTGTCCTCAGTGAGTGGCAACGAAGAGCCCATCCTCTCCTGTCTGAGGCTTCTTGGATCCTGGAGAGGCAGTGCTTCTGCTTGGAGAGCAGATCCCCAGATCCAGCCCTCTGCAACCTGTCTTCCACCCCACATGTGTGTGGTAGCAGGGAAGTGGGTTATGAGCACAGGGTTCTAAGGATGCAGGGGCTTGAGTGAAGGGGCTCTTGCTAGGACCACGGGTGAGGTACTGGAAGTCTAGAATCAAAGTGTCCTGAGAGTTGCTTCGTGGAAATCTTCCTACACTTCTGTTCCTGGTGACCCCAGCTCCCTGTGTGTTCCTTGGCTTGGAGATGGATCATCCCAGTCTCTGCCTCTGTCCTTGAATAGCCTTTTGCCTGTTTCTGTCCCCTGCTTCTCCTGAGGCAACCATGTTCACAGGTACCAAAGATGTGGCTCTGAGGTGATACAGTTCAACTCACTATGCTAAGGTTTTCCATGGGAGTCTGTTGGAAGCCAGGTACAGTCCTAGGAGCCGCTAAGTGAACCAAACTCTTGTTGGTGAGGCTAGTCAGCTGGAGGACAGAGCTCTGTCCCTCTTCAAGACCCCTCCGTGGCCCAGTCTTCCACTGTCCAGATGAACTTGGGAGCTCTTGTCACCACACTTGGGAGTCATTGTGTGCAGATGGGGCAGGTGGTAGAACGCGGGGACAGGAGCCATGGCAGTGACTGCTGGGAAGACAGGGCCATGCTCTGATGGCCCAGACACATCCTCTGTCCTTCTGGGTTTTCCTGCAAGAGAGGCAGCCTCATTGTACACATGGTCTTGTCAATGGGTCTGAGAAGACCCAGATGTGTGGTCTGTGTGGGACACCAGGGACTGAGATGAGGAAGTGAAGAGCCCCCGAGTGTGCAGGTGGCATCTTGGTCGCACAGGGTAGACTGTACTGCATAGATAGCTGCAGACCCCAGAGCCTCAGCCTATTCCTTGGGTCACTGTAGGTGAGATCTGCCTAGCGCAGTGGCCATTGCAAGCCCATCTGTAAAGACATGAAGGTGAGGCGTGGAGTCCCCAGCTCTTGGGCTCCTTTGGTGTGCTTTCCCTCCGAAGCCTCACAAGCCATGCTTCGGGCTGACTGACATACAGGCAGGTGCTGGTGCTGCCCTTCAGTCGCACACTTACTGAGGCCTCTGCAGGGATCTAGGAGACTGCAGGCAACTTGGCACACCAGAACACTTTGCAGAGCAATAGCATGGCCTTGACCCGCCCCCCTGAGGCCAGGTCTGGGCAGCTCGTTCGCCCTCTTGTGGAACCATTAATTAGGCTTTCTTTTCCTCTGCTTCAGCTCTTGATGCCCACCAGTTTTTACCCAAGCATGCCTTCTATTCGGGCTTCCACAGACCAGCATGGCTATTCTAGCTTTGTCATCTCCAGGGACATCTGACATATAGTCCTGCTTGGCAAGGGCCGTGTGGCTGTCTGGCTTCTGTCCTTCCCCCGTCCCCTGTACAATCCCAGTGGCCGTCAGCCAACTGTGCTGTCAGTGCTCAACAGAGCCCAGTTTGTGGGACTAGGGGCAAAGCCCTGGTGAGTGAGCCCAGGCCATGGGCACTCATCAGACCCAGGGGGAGGAGGCAGTGCACGCACAGCTTCTTAGTCTGTCCTCCGGCTGGACCCAGAGCCTGGAGTACAGGAGTCACCATATAATGGAGAGGGACAGAAAAATGTCTGGACCACGAGGCTTGCAATTATTTCATGGCCACACTGCTGGCCCTGTTATGATTGTAGACTCGTGGCCTGGCCAGGAGTTGAGTCAGCCCTTCACTTCCCCTAGGAAGGCTGGGTCTGCAGAGGCTGGGAATGGGTAAGGTGCCCCATGGAGAGAGAGAACATGGGATTCCAGCACAATTGCCAGTCAGACTGTGTCATTGAAGGGAACTCGGGAGGCTCAAGGAGGCAGGAAGGCATTCACAGTGAGCTCACATAGCAGACAATGTCTTCTAGGGCCACTGGATATCCAGATGTGGAGGATGGAGACCAGGCTTGCCAGTTTCTGGATTTGGAGGGCTTGTCTGGTTATGCTCCAAGCCCTCTCTGTTTCTGAGGATAGGTGCTAGTCCCAGAGGCCACCCAGGCACCTCACAGTCGGTACCGAGGTGGAGTGTCACGCTGTAGCTTCTTCAGGGACTCAGTTCATGCCGAGCCTTGGGCCATATACGATGGCAAGGGAACCAGCCTTTCCTTGTATAGGGTATGTCTGCCATGCTAGGCAGGCTCTGGCTGCACAGACTTGGGGTGTAAAGAGGCAGGGTCCAGAGCAACATTGCAGAGGGTGGGGTACCATTTCAGTGACTAATCCTCACCACCTGTAGTCTCAGGGATCTGCTGTCAGGGAGATGGGAGGGCCAAGGTGAGCTATGTGCCTAAGGTTTTTCTCGGGAACAGCCCTTTGAGCTGGGGTTGGTAGCATTCTGTGAGTGACGGACTAGGGAGCAATGGCTTAGCATAACCCATCTGCCTGCTCACACCTGTCGCTCAGCCTTCAGATTGCTCCCAGGGCTTCCCAGGATAACTGTCGTCATGGAGACAGCACATCCAAGGCTGGGCACACTGAGATGCAGTGAGAGAAAGATGGGTTAACCCTGTGTGTGCTGTGCCTCTCTACCCACTGCCCTGTGTGATCCTGTCCTTGGTGTGTGTGTTCAGGGACAGAAAAGGGTGGCATCCTAAATCCAGGAGAGAGGATCCAGGTGTGACTTTGGGCACATCAAGTTTTTCAAAGATCTAGAAGGTTTAGCATGTTACATCAAAAACAAAAAACAAAACAACCCCCCCACCCCCCCTCCAAAAAAAAAAGCAAAACAACAAAACAAAACCTAGGAGAGCTAGAGACTTCTGGCTGGTGGTGACCCAGGTCGGTGGCCTGGCAGCTGGGCTCAGCACCTGTGTCTCAGATCTGCTACACTAGTCTTCCTTCAGGGACATGGGCTAGCCAGGTGCTGCCAAGTGTGCATGCCCTGCATTGTCTAGACATCTCGGAACTCTGCCCTCCTCCCTCTGAGATAGACAGGATGTGATGCTGGACTGTGCTCGGTCTTACCTTGCCAGCTCAGCCCTCAGAAAGGCCAGTGGGAGGCAACAATTTGGATGCTCCATCAGGGAAGTTAGGACTGTCAGGCATTGACGACACTAATGCTCAACAGGGACCTTGGGAAGACTGCAGGAGGCTCAAACAGGGGGAGAGATGTTCCCGGTCCAAAGTCCTCAGTCTCAGCTGTCCCATGAGATGGATTTCTGTACGTGGACAGGCTTGTGTCCTTGCTTCTACCTGTGGGGTCTTGGCTCTGGCTGCCCTTGATTGCCTCATTTGCCTTGGTGGGGGCAGCACAGCCAGAGTGGCCGCTGAGTGAGCACTGATATCCTCTATTCTCAGGCTACCGGAGAGGAGAGTTCCATACGCTGAGGTGTCCCTTTCTCTTTGTGGGCGGGCATTGAAGTACCCCAGCTTCAGTCTTGGTGTTTAGTTCCCCACTCTGTATACCCTAAGTTTCTGGCAATAATATTAATTTGTGCCTGGGTCCAGGTTGCAGGTGAGCTCACCGAGGGTCTGGAAGAGCAGTGGGTCCTCAGGCCAGCCTGGGCCAGGTCTCTCCTGGACAGCCAAGTGATCTATGAGCACTGTAGAGGGCACGGCTGCTTGCTCTCAGTCCTTCACCCACAGTGATCTGTGGGACGGGCTCCTAGTACTGAACTTGGGCGAAAGCAAGGCTCAGAGGAAAGGGTTTATTTCATTTTACAACTTTTAGTTCATTCATTATGAAGGGAGGCAGGAACCTGGAGGCAGGAACCTGGAGGCAGGAACCTGGAGATGGTGGGAAAACATGGAGGCGGGAACACAGAGGTGGGAACTGAAGGAAAGGCCGAGGAAGAATACTGCTTACTGGCTTGCTACCCATGGCTTGCTCCACCTGCTTCTTGTACAACCCAGCACCACCTGCCCAGAGGTGGCACTGTTCAGAGTAGACTGGGATTCCCATATCCATCCTTAATCCAGAAAATGTCCCATAGGCCGATTTGGTGGAACTATTTTCTTGGTTGAGAGTCCCTCTTCCCAAATGACCCTAACTTGGGTAAAGTTGACAAAAAATGAAAAAAAACAAACAAAAATAACAAGAACAACAAAAACCACACACACACACACACACACAGTCATCACAGGACAACAGTATCTTGGTCGCCACTCCTGGTCATGGGATCTAAGGAGCCTATGGAAAAGATGAGGCCTTTTGCAGGAACACACTAGCTTGAGGCAGCCCCTGGAAGCTAAGCCCCCCTTTCCCTTTTCCCATTTCCACCTGGACAAAGTGTATCGAGTCTTCGTTCTGATCCATGCTGGGAGAGGAAGGCACCAAGTCCCTGCTCTGACCACCCAAGAGCAGCGGACGTCAGGTCCTGCCCTGGTTCCAGGGTCAGCCTTTGGGGGACCATGCGGGCAGCTGAAAGGAACACCAGTGTAGGTGTCAGGTGGGCAGGGCCAAGTACTGCTGTGTGTGCCCAGAGGATCCATGGACAGGCACAGCAAATGAGCCCAGGGTGAGCGGGCAATGCACATAGCTGCTCACAGCAGTGGGGGCACCACACAGGCCCTTGCCCACTGATATTGGTCTTCAGAGCCCTGGGGAGTGGAGCAGTGTCAGGGTATCTTTCCTTGCCTGTCCTTGATGTCTGGGACGTATTGCTGTCAGCCAGCCCAGTGGTCATCAAGACTGCGTGTCCTTCACAGGAAGTCCCATGTGATCTCTGGGGACATCAGGTGGTTCTACCTGCTGACAGCTGGGTGTCATTGGTGGTGAGTTGGTGACGTGACCTGAGTTACTCTTAGCTTATTTATTTTGGGTAGTCAGGGTTACACCGTCCCTATGCCTTGGCCTTCCATGTCCACGGCTGGCATATGGTCAAGAGGGCTTGTGGAATGCACACATCGGTGCACGGGCCCATCATCAATGCACGTGGCTGTCAGCCAGCCACTTCTTAAGGTCTCATCTGTTAGTCTTCCATTGTGAAGCCATTTTTGTCACTTTGTGTAGAATCTGAGCACAATTAGCCTGAACCTAGTATCAAGCCCACCACAGGCTGGAGGTGGGCAGGGTCCTTTATTGACTGCCCTGCTCAGTGCTATGGACCCTGGAGGATATGGTGGGGTGATACCTCCCACATAAACATGCGACTTGGAGTCAGGCTGCCCCTGGCCCTCAGGCAGCAGAGGGGAAGGGAGGAGGGTCTTCTCATCTTATACCCTCTCTGCTCAAGGATTAGAGCGGGCCTGGTGCTCACATCTTGGGCTTTGGGTTTCAGCCTGTGTATTTGAGGGGACTCAGAGCCATAGCTGTGAGTGACTATGTGAGTGGGTGGCCTTAGAAGGGGATCGTGTGTTTTCAGTGTCTGTGCTGACACCCAGGCTTTGGGACCCAATATCTGGGGTTCTTGGTTTGGCTCCGGTTTCCCAGTACAGCAGTGGTGGCAAGGCCCCAACGTTGGGTCCATGAGAGGACAAGACAGGACGCTCAGCACCGGACATTTGCTGGGATGGCGGTGGAGGAGAGGGAAGCAGGCCCTTGGATCCCATTCAGTCCCACCAGGACCCCAGTGCTCACCAGGAAACCTGGGAATGTGGTCTCTCCCTGTGTCAAGGGGAGCAACTCAGGGTAGCACCCTGGATGGCTCCCTTAGCGCCCTCTCTTGGCCCCATTGCAGCACCTTCTTCTATGCCTTCCTGAACCTCCTGTTCAGTGCCTTTGTGGTCTTCCTGGTCTTCATTGCCAGCACCATCGTCAGTGTGGGCTTCACCATGTGGTGTGACGCCATCACGGAGAAGGGCACTGTGCCCCACAGGTATGCCTGGGCCCTGCTTTATCTGCCACCTCCCTAGAAGACCCACCCCTTACCTGGATCCCAAGATGCTTTTCTTCCTGATTCCCATTCCGAGTCTGAGGCTTTGCCCACCTGTGCCCCCGACGACCTGCCCACCAACATCAAGCACCTCTTTCTCTGGCCTAGTTGCCCACAGCATCACACGTGAAAGGTCCTTGTGGGTCAAGAGGCATCATGCAGGGCTTTGTAGCTGGCATGGCCTGCCTCACTTGCTGGTTTCAGCTCCTGTCACCACTGTGCGGCAGTGGCAGTCTGTGGTTAGTGAGTAGAGGCTGCCCTCAAGGTGCCGCTGGACAATTTGGGGACATCACTTCCATCTCAGAATGGGAAACTGAGGGACTAGGCTGAGCAGCTTGTGACCCCCGAGTACCAGACAGATAAGATGGCTGAGGCTGGGCCTTGTGTTCAGGGCCAGCTGGAAAGATTTGCAACTCCCACCCAATGAGGGGTGAAAGCTGACTCGCAGTGGAGTTCCTAGAGGCATCTGTCTTTAGTCCTCTTTGGGGACAGCTCCCTCTGTCTTAGGGTTACTATTATTGCTGTGATGAAACACCATGGCCAAAGCAGCCTGGGGTGGACAGGGTTTCTTCGGCTTATGTTTCCACATGACAGTCCATCATCAAAGAAAGGCAAGTCAGGAACTCAGACAGGGCAGGGACCTGGAGGCAGGAGCTGATGCAGAGGCCATGGAGGATGCTGCTTACTGGCTTGATCCTCATGGCTTGCTCAACCTGCTTTCTTATAGAACCCAGGAGCACCAGCCCAGGGATGGCACCACCCACCCTGGGCTAGGCCCATCAATCACTAAGGAAATGTCTGATTGTATAGAAGCATTTTCACAGTTGGGGTTCCCTCCTCTTAGACAACAAAACTCCCCTCACTTTTCATGGGGAGTGTTCTCTGCTCCCCAACTAGTTGCTTGCTGCCTTTTGGCTCAGGGACTCACGCCACTAACCACTCAGCATTATGCTATTTTAGCTGTAAGAAGTTCCAGGACGTGGACTTGGAGCTGAACGTGGACAACTCTGCCTTCTATGACCAGTTTGTTATCGCCCAGGTAGGTGGTATTTTAGGCGGGAAGAGAAATGGTTATGTTGGGGATGGGGGCAGGGACCACAACAGACAGATTCCTGATTCTAGGGAAACAGACTCGGATCTGGTGGGGCCATCAGGGGAGGTACAGGTTGTGGGAGTAGCAGGAGAACCCCTCTCTAGGGGGCTAGGAGAGCCGGGTCTCTGAGCTGGGCTTGTGTGTGGGGTGAGCAAGAGGAGGCATGGGCAAATGTACAGAGCAAGGTCAGGTGCCAGGGGATGGAAAGTGCTGAGTGGGTGGGAGGGAAGAGGGGGGCACAGGGGTTGGGGAGGAGGTGCAAGAATGGGGCATAGACTCTGGGGTTTTCAGGACAGGGTTTGGATTCTGGTGTGGCTCCGAGTGTTCAGAGAATGCTGGAAGGTCCCTGAGCCACCTGGTGCTGTGTCTGAGGGTGAAACGAGGGGCCCGCTCTAGGAAGATGCCGGCCCCACCTCACCCTGCCTTTCAAGTGACTTCTAAACTACAGGGATGCATCGGGAGTTGAGGGCCCTGGGGAAAGCTTTAGGATTTTCCTGTCCCTTAATGTCTGCATTTGTGCCCCCAGACAGATGGTGCAGTCTCGGGGCACCTAGATGGGGCTGAACATGGACACCTGTCCCTTCCCACATGCATGAGGTTGTCACCCTCTGCAGCTTCCTTCCATGTCCCAGTCTGGTTCCTGGAAGCTCTGGTGTGTCAAAGGCTGGACTGAGATGATTCTTGTCTCTGCCAAAAGCCCTTAGAAGTCCTTAAAGTTCCTTGCTAAGATGAGCTGAAACAGTCCATGAGACCTTCCCATAACTTTAGCTGAATGTTTTAGAACTGATTTGGACCGATTAGACGGAGGCATGCACAGTCTGAGGACGAACACGCTCAAATGAGAATCAGTTTGATGCAGTGCAGACCTGGAGCTGATTTAATTGTTTCTCCTTCCGCTGTTTGGAAACAGCAGATAAAGGTCAATTTATTCCCCTGACTAGAGGGGCTCTCTGATCTATAGGCACTCTGCAGAGCCCAGTGGGTCGGGGTGGGAAGAAAGCGCTACCCAGGTCCTGCTCCTCTTCATCCTCACCAGTGCAGGTGAGAATGGCAGAGTACCCCAAGCATCAGTGCAAACCTGGGTCCTTGTAGGTATTGGATATAGCCGTCACTGCAGAGAATAAGCCAAATATGGGTATATTTATATGGGCTCTCAGGTGTGTGACCTGCCTCTGGCCTGAGTGCTCTCTCCCTTGGCTGCAGAGCTAGAGCCAGGAGGTAGGTATAGAGCACAATGAGCCCTCCACCCCCCCCTGACACTGCTTTGTCTTCCATGCAGTTTGGTCTGTGGGCCTCGTGGTTGGCTTGGCTGGCGATCACCACCCTGGCGTTCCTGAAGGTTTACCACAACTACCGCCAGGAAGACCTGCTGGACAGCCTGGTTCATGAGAAGGAGCTGTTGCTGGCCAGGCCAGCCTCTCGTACCTCCTTCCAGGGGGAGAAGAGTGCTGTCATCTAGGCTGTGCAAGGGTGGCCCCCTTTCCTGAGGCCTGCACTGAGGGGTGGCTGGGGCCCCACCCAGGCTGGCCAGTGCAGCTCCGCATGTGTCTCTTGGCCCCGCCCACCGTGAGCAGAGCACTTGTGTTCCCATGGAGAGCCTGACAGTGATGGCACAGAGACCCAGAGACTTGGGGTTGGGGTGCCTTCTGCTTCTTGTCCTGGCCTTGATTAGTGTGATCCCTACTCTGCCTCTGTGTGACCATTGGCCCATATATGTGCATGTATGATAGCATGTGTGTAGATGGGAGTGTGACTGCAGAACAGAGCTGATGGTGCTGGGATTGCAGCCTCCTTGCACCACCACAGGCTCCAGCACACCCAAGTCCCTGCCCTTCCCAGAGGAGGCCATCTTTCCATTCTATAGCATCTTCAGCAAAGGTCCCCAGAAGGCACTGTTCCCTGTCCCCCGTAGCAGCTGATGGAGGATCCTGTAAGAATATGGGGGTCTGGGCTAGGCTCTGTCCTCTGTTCTATGAGGATATCTGGGGCTGCTTGGCTGTGGTAGGAGAGTCCCACCCTCCACTCTTGAGGTTTTCTAAGTGGCATGATTCTCTGTGTTCCAGGGGCGGGGCCTCCATAGCAGCGTCCACCATCAGTGGTTGGTGTGATCCTAGCTGTGTCAGCATCCACCATCAGTGGTTGGTGTGATCCTAGCTGTGTCAGCTCTCTGTCCACCATCAGTGGTTGGTGTGATCCTAGCTGTGTTAGCTCACTGTCCACCATCAGTGGTTGGTGTGATCCTAGCCAGTTCAGCTCACTGTCCACCATCAGTGGTTGGTGTTTCCAGGTAGAAGGGGCTGGCTTCACAAAGGTGTGGGCCCAGGCTCACTGGGGAATCACTTGGACCCTAAGAATTGAAGCTATCAGGGATGACTAGGATGCTGTGCAAGGGAGGTACCTATCTGGGGAGGTCAGGGCCAGGCAGACTGACACTCCGGCCTGCTCTGGGGGCTTTGGCTTTTGGCCTGGCTGAGCTTCCAGTGGCGGGGGGGGGGGGGGGGTGCTGGAGAAGTGTTTTGAGGTCTCCAAACTGACTTGGTCTCTCCTCCAGACCCTCACACCAGCCCATATCTGTGGTGCACGGGAACACTGTCTAGCTCTGGGACCCCTCTTTTGTCTCCCTAGGATTGACGCCTTTGTCATCTTCAGTCCCACATCCTAACTAAGGCTAAAGCTACTTAGGACCTGAAGGAGCAGGAGGCAGGCTGGCGCCCATGGCACCTAGGATCTGCTTCAGGTGTAGGCCTGCTCTTAGCAGCTGCCTCTTGGGGATTCTGGGAGTTAGTCTGGAACCTGGTCAAGTCCAGAAAGACCTTCATTCACCTACAGATGCTTAGACTTGCCCCTCAGGTGTCAATGTACCAGGGACTCCTAGGAAAGGGCCTCTGGCCTGGGGGTGCTGGCAGGATCTGTTGGCTGTAGCCATGGGTAGGGGTGTCTGTCCAGGACAGGACTCTCTGGATGTATGGCAAGAGGCAGGCGGAGGTGCAGAGTGGTCCCCAGGGTGTTCCCAGGATGCTTCTGCTCCTTCGGCTTGTTTCAGAGCAGCCTTTGTTCCTGTCTTCCTGGTGAAACTGATAGTGAAGAATCCTAAGCCTCCATGTGTCTGATTCTCAAGTCAAAAGATCAAAATAAAGATGAAATATCTGAGATGCCTTGTGAATGAGGTTTTCGTGTCTTTGTCAGGCATTCAGTCCACTCCAGATCCCACCTCCCACCTCAACTCTCAGGCTTTAGCTGTTTGTTTATGATTTAGACAGTCTTGTCCTGTTATGTTCCAGGTGCTCACGGGCAGCCCTTCAGGCCTGTGTGTTTAAGGAGGTTGACTCTTGTTGATCCCCACCCCATTCCTACACCACCCTCCAGATGTGAGGATGTACCCCATTCCTATACCACCTCCAGATGTGAGGATGCACTCATTCCTCCACCATCCTCCAGACGTGAGGATGTACCCCATTCCTACACCACCTCCAGATGTGAGGATGTACCCATTCCTACACCACCTCCAGGTGTGAGGATGCACCCCATTCCTACACCATCTTCCAGATGTGAAGATGGGGTTTGGTGGCATCTTTTAGGCACATACATTTCTGTGTATGTTTTTGAACATTTATTCTAAAACAAAATAAGGCTGGGGATGCAAGCCAGTGGCAGACCGTTTGCCTAGCTGTGCTGGGTTTGCAGTGTAAAAAGGAAACAAAGCTAAATGAAAACCAAAACTAGCTAGGGTAGAGTTTTGTGGCCCCTACAGAGCTGGGCACACTTTTTCTGTGGCCTTTGCAGCAAATGCTGGCTCTGAGGCAGGAAGCCCTGACTGTTATAAAACATGGTTGGCCAATCCTCCTTCTAGAGGGCATTCACTCTCAGAAGCAGGGATGGAGGGGTGACCTTGAGGTCATCTGTCTCATTTCTTAGTGTCTTTCCACATCTGGAATACAGGCCAGTCATGAGCCTGTCTCTTACCAGAGTGGGATGAGATGGAATGGGTCCTGGGGCATCTGGGCTGGTGCAGGCAACAGTAGCCATGGTGATGGCTGATCATGGTGAGTGGTTTCCCAAGCTGGGCCTCTCTAGACCACTCCTGGAAGCAGAGTTTCTCTCAGCTAGAGATCACTGTGTGTAGTACCTGAAGTCCAGAGAGGGGCAGATGGCCCCTCAGTCAGCTAAGAATCTGGGCATGTTTTGCTGGGGGAGAATGTGGTCCTAGAGGCATGGTGGGTCCCCCAAATTCTCACGAATGACAGCTGCAAAGGACCTGTGAGTTGTGGGGGGTGGGTGGGTGAAGGGTATGCTCCGGTGCCCAGATGAGCATGCTTGACCCTGGAGGAATTACCCAACAACTGTCTCGTATTCCTAATTTCTATAATAATCCTGAGGTTGAAGAGGATGCAGATGTTATTATGAAATCTGTCTGCTCACGTAAATAGAGGGCCACCTTAAGAGGACAATCACAAGCCTTACCCTGGCTCCCAAACCCTGATCAAATGTTTGTTCCAGGGTGGTGCTGAGTCCTCCTGGTGGGTCCTCCTGGTGGGTCCTCCTGGTGGATCCTCCTGGTGGGTCCTCCTGGTGGATCCTCCTGGTGTCTGACTGAGCCTCCTCACTGTGTTCAGGGATCCCTTCCAGGCAGGTCCGAGGGTCCTGAAGTTCATTACTATGTGCTTGCTTCCCTTGTCCTTGCAACATGCATGACAGAACTGTGTCTGTGTATGTTCAGGAGGCTTAAGGGACCTTCGGCTGGTAGGCAGGCATGATGGCCTTGGGTTTGTCTGTAACCCTGGGAGAGGGACCTCTCAGAAGAAAAGAGCAGCTTGATTCAGAGCTGGACTCTGTTGCCACACCACAGGGACCTCTAAAGATCTTAGTGTCAAGTGGAGGAATCAGACCTGGGCTCAGACCCTGATACCCACAGGGCTCCGTGAACTGCAGAGGAAGGCCCCTGAGCCCATCTCCTGATGGTAAGACAAAAACAGGGCCCAGCACTCAAAGCAGCAGGAGTTCGGGCCTTGCCTTCCCAAACTGCCCCTCAGAGGCAGGTGACACCCTGAAAGGGTTGCCTGTCATCTATGACAGCATCCAGGTTAGGGATCCCAAGAGGGAGGACTGGGCAGGAACGTGGGGATCCCCAACCACAATGGCTGAGTTCTTTCTCTAACACAATCTTAAATACCAAGATCCCAGCCTGTGCTGACTAGAGTAGGGGTACTTGTAGCATCAAGCCAGAGGCACCCTTTTCCCCATTTTATCCACGACAGTGGTCTCTTGGAGCTCCTGGGTTTGTCAAACATTGGCTAGCAGAGCTCTGTCTTGTTAGTCTTAGTGCCTGGGCTTCACCACGTGCCAGTCCCCAAACCACCCTAGGCCCCAACAGCATCACCCTTCAGCGATGTTCAGAGGTGAAACTGCCATTCAGCCATGTGTCAGAGCTTCAGGAGGCAGTGCCAACAGGCAAGAACGACATGCCACAGGCGCAAGATGCGGACGAGGAGCCAATCCCAGAGGTCCTGCAGGGTCACTGTGACATGTTTGGCCTGGCCACAGTACAGGCCCAGCGCCACTCCCAGCAGAACGCACAGAGTCAGCCACAGGAAGGGGGAGCCACTGCAGGGTGCTGACGGGAGTGGAGAGCCACCATGGGAAGCTGACCGGCTGGGCACTGTAGGGGGGCGGCAGGTCAGTCCTGGGGCTCCCCAGTGAGGCCCCGGGAGGTGCTCCCTCTCTCTGCTGCTGGGGCTGGTGTGGAGGGAGAATTACGTTGCTTTGCTGTTGACCTGTGGCTGGCCATCAGGATGATGGTCAGGTAGGGTCCTGGGGTGAGACTCATGGAATCCATGGTACATGGACTCTTGTCCTCACCTGCCTAGGGAAGATTGCACCTATTTAGGGGTGCTAGTGCTCATTGACATGTCCAGGATCTGGGGAGTGGCCCTGAAGGGATGGGGTCACTTCTAGGGCGATCAGGGGAGACTGAATCAGGGTCCAGAGTGACTAGGCATATGGGGATAGGGGTGTAGTTAAGGCTGTATCTGTCTGGTTTTGCCCTGCAGAGGTGAGGCCCAGGACCTGCTGGCAGATGGGGGCTCCTTCTCAGAACTCACCCTTGACGGAGGCTGTGGTGTCCCTGCGGGCAATGTCTGGAAAGGAGACCATAGATTTAGTTAGCAAAGTCAAGTTCTCCCACCCCACCACACAAAGGTACCAAGACGGCTCTCACTGGCCTGGCCTGTGAGATGGGCTACCCAGAACCTAACCCTCCGTAGAGGGAGGTGGTGATGCTCACAACCACATTCTATCCTGTTGACTGCTTTCCCTCTGAGCATGGCCCATCTTCATGATCCCATTATAAAGACTTATTGGGGCTCTGTCTGGGAAGGCAGAGTAAGGACCGGCTTTTCTTGATGGTCCCAGACCATGCCAGAATTGCAAGGGCACCTGCCCACTCCACCCCAGACCCACACATCAAAGCCCCTGGCCCCTCTTACAGTGGACGGCCACCTCCAGGGGTTCTCGGAACCGCACATGCCTTGAAGTCCTTTGTGCCTCAGCCCCATGGCACCTACATTCCTGCCGTCTGGGCCTCAGGATAGAGGGGGGACGCTTCCTGTCACCACCCTAGGATGGGGATGGAGAACAAATGGCTGTTGAGCCCTCTCTGTTCAAGCCTGGCATCTGGGGCTGTGGTGTTTGCTGGCTCCCCTGGGCTACATGAAGCGGACCTACTGCAGGGGGACCAGAGAAGGGCATGGAGACTTCAGAACCAGCCCACCTTCCCCAACTCCTGCACTGCTGGAATAAAGCCTGGACAGTCATGAGTGAGTGTGCTCAGTGGCTAGAAGGCCCAGGCTTTGTCCTAGGCTGTGTCCCCTGTCAATCTTGGGGGTTTGGAGGGAAGCT